CCATTTCCCTTGCTATTTGGGCATATGATGCAATCCTGGCCAATGCAATAGGGAGCTAAGTCTGCTGGAAGAATCTAGGAAAAGTTTTCCTTGATCTTACAAACAGGACTAAAGATAGGATGCCCTGGATGCTGGTCTTTGGCTCTCGGGATGCTGTCTTATGGGAAGTGATGCTTAGAGCTGTTGGCATTACAGAAAAGTTAACTGAGAGGCCTGATGCTGCAGAGCCTCAAAATGCACTCCAGAACAACCCACTTCTGAACTTCTCAATAATATAAATCCAAATTATAACCAGTATCAGCATTTTAGCTAGACTCTATTTTTTATCTAATCTTCAAAATCAGAAAATATGGTATTAAGAGAACAATTGTTTACTACTTTCTAGATTTTTCTGTGTTCTTTATATATACTTGTTACATAACCAGCCAAGAATAATGCCCTTAAACTTCACAAAAGTCCCATATATAAGGTTCTCTGCTATTTTTTCTCTGACTTTAACGCACGTCTTTTTATTCACATTTCTCATACAGCTTTTCCATCTGCTTCCTTTAGACCTGAACTATAACTGAAGATATTATTGATGATTATGCCCTTCTAAATTTTTTGTGTTTGTGCATAATTAATCTCAACAATCAATAAAACAGTAAAACATGCTGCAACACTTATTTTCAACTTGCTCCTTTTTTCCTTTTACACAATTTCATATTCTGGGAATATCTTTCCCTTGCCCACATACTTTGTACCTGGATGTTCTTAAAAATAAAATTCATGGCTTTTAGAGACTCTTCAGGATATTACTTTAGGACCCTTAAAATGATTGAAGAGGATTAATCTATCTTCTTCTGCACTATATTGGTAGTCATTATCTAGCCTCTCTGCCTAGATAATTTAAGATATTAGGCCACTGAGCTGCATATTTTACACAGCTCTTAACTTACCAGTGTTGTGCAAAGGAGGTTCAGATTAAAAAAAATTACCTTAAAATACATTTCTCAGACAATCTCATTTTGAAAGCATCAGTAAATATCTTGGCCGGATAAGCTGATGGGCATTGTAGCTACAAGATGACAGATTTTATCCACCCTCCCTCCTCTGGAAAAAAACAAAAACAAAAACAAAACACCCCGGGTTTTGCTTTAGATTTCTAAGACCAAGCTAATAAATATGTAAATTAAGTGAGAATACTTGTAGTTCATCTCTAAGACAATGAAAAAGAGCACATTATAACTTCATTGAGTACATGGAGGCACCAAGAATGTATGGCTAGTAAAGAGTATTCTTATAACTGCTGAGAGGGAAATCAGCAGAATTAAAAGGAGAAAGCTTTTGAAAACCCCATCTAAACTGTCTAGTATGGCAAAGAAAAGAGAGCTATTCCAAGTAGATTTCAACCTGCATTAACCAAAACAGTATTTTAATGTTACAGCAGATGATTTCCGAATGAAGTTTATTTTTATATTTTGTCCACACCTTTATGATTTATATTCCTTGGAAGTTGCATAGGCTGACATAATTTATAATTTAATTTAACTGAGGTATTATAAGGCCCACATCTCAGTAAGCTTCAAAACTGCTAATTGGGATAATAGGAAATTACTTGTCTTCTCCCAAATGCCAGTGAAGTAGGTCAGGATAATTAATATGCAAGCTGACTTTTCAGTCAAAGGAAAACAAGACAGGTCTCATCTGTGTACTTTTAATACCATCCATCTTACACCAAAATGAGTTCAGTCTGTGAAAAATCATAGCATGATTCAGTTAAATAACTGAATTTCAAAATAAGAGAAAACGTAGTCCAACCATGAGAACACAGATTGAAGACAGTTCTAAAGGAGGCTAAACTTACACCTCATAAGCAGGGAAATTAAAAAAAAAACAACAACATCTAAGTCACCGATTTAGGTACATCTTGCTTTTTATATTGCTTTGCAAACTTGTAAGCACTATATAATATATATATTATATAAAGTTAAGGTAAATATAAATGATAAGAGAGGAGTTTGGTTGATGACATAATTCTTCATCCGTAAAGCAGAAGGTAGGCTATATTTTCACATTTTCTTCCATTACTCCTGCCCACTTGCCTGATGCTTCCTATTTTTAATTTCTTGGTAAACTATGAAAAAATATTTGGAGCTAGAGACACAAAACTTACTTCCCCTGCAGGTCTGTACTGGATTAGTGCAAATTCACTTTAGTAGGTCAAACCAAATGCTGGCCTCGAGCCGGACAGTTAGTAACACACCACTGCTGGGCTTCGTCTGTAACAAGCACAGGTGCCCGCCAAGCTGTGGGCAGCAGAGTGAGTGCTCCGTGTCAGAGGGCCTGCCACCAGCCTGGGACTGATGGCGTGGCCACGGTTTCTTTCGTGCCTCTAATTTTGGCTCTGTTGATATAACACCCAGCAGCTCAATTTGAGTAAGAAGCCTGGAATACGGGCTCCTAACGGCCAACCCGGGGCAGTCACGAATACAACACCCTTTAACTAGACCTTAAGAATTCTTTTGAAAACACTGATTTTATAGCTGATTTTCTCAAATGACGTGTTCATCAAATTACACACTCCTAAATGTTAAAAACAGTAATGCAGAAAGTCCATCATTAGGAAAGTAAACATACATTTCATTAAGTAAAAAGCATCTTCTACTTGGCAACCATGAAATGCACGGCTCTGCTGAGAATGGTCTGAAGAACACTGACACATCAAGTGGCAAGATTTGGGGGAAAATGCCCAGAAAGAAACAGGGCCCTGAAAGACAGTGCATGGCCTCCTCTCGTGAAGCAGATCCAACTGAAATAGCATCAACTGCCCCCACGATATTGAATCATAAAGACAAAATGTGCAATACTAGATTTATAGACACACTTCCTAGGGTTGTTCGGCCTTATCCCAATTATTCCACAAAAAAAAGAGCCCCTGCAAGAGATGGAAAATACCGAAGAACTGCCCACTTGACTCATTTGGGAACCTGAAGGAAAAACCCACCAACTTAGGAGTGCATCTATATAGTAAAAATATATCCAATCAACAAAACAGCAAAAAAGAGACACTAGAAGAACAAACTCGAAAGCCGTCTAACTACAGATGCTCTGTGGGCCGGGTTTTCCTTTCAGGCCTGAGGACGTGCCTTCTCCTCTTCGGTACTCCCTCACTCATGGCCAGGAGGACCTGGGAAGTAACTGGCTTAAGCGAGAAAGATAGCATCAATGACTTCTACCTGCGACCACGAGGAGATGTTTTCTGAACAGAATTCTCTAGTCCAGAGGGCTGTGCAGATGTCAACACCATTTATTTTAGAATGGCAGAGATAAAGTACTTTCCCCGCTATGTTGGTACAATACCGAACAAACCTCATACAGTTAGTTACAGCAGTTGTGCAGCACCTGGATGACCATCGAAACGAAGTTTCTAACTCAGCTTTAAATTTTAGAAAGCAATGTAATAATTTTGGTAAACGTAACCGTAAAAATGTATTATCATGCTTGCCAGAAGTCCTACAGAGGCCTAACATGGCTCCTAGATATTTCTTCCACCAGACTCCTCCATAATCTCTGATAAATGTGAATGCTGGCAGGCCTTGGCAGGTAACAGATGGCAATTACATTTTCCTGCACCAATAGTATACCTTTTGTAATGCTCCTCATGGAGATTATGGCTAAAATACACTTCACGTGGAAACTGCTTTAACATATGAATTTTATTACAAGCAACTCATATTTTGATGGTAGAAGATATAATTCAATTCCCATTAAATAATGTAATGAAGACCCATACCATAAAAGGAAGTCTACTGTATTTTCTTATTAATCATCTCCAAAGTGACCCTCATTTTAAATAAGCCAAGCTTAACATGGCGATGAGGCTCCTGACCTGCTGGTTCTCTGTGAACTTTGAGTTGTTTTTCCAGTCGTGATGAAGAACTTACAGTAATATATCCCACAGTCAAAGTTTCGTATACTTGCAAAATGGGCTGATGGATATAGTCTGCTTGTATCCTTTAAAAAGAGAAATCTAATGCTCTAGTGGGACCAAACCAGCAACTGTGGTTTCATCAACATTGGCTTGGGACATCTACACTAACTGGCCCAAACTTCGTTTTGAATAAAAACATGCAAACAGTTTTATACTACTACTTTAACACTATTTTTTGGGTGGTAATTTTACATTCAGGACTTACAGCCAAACCTAGATTTTCTTTCTAAGTAAAAAACTGAGTTCTAGCCTTTCCCTTAAAATAGGCTGGGTTTCTGGACTGGTGTAGCACATTAATTATAAACAGATGCTTGGTAAGGCATGTTGGATAAAGAACTCGATAATTAGTAAACATATTCTTAATGCCAACAAGTCAGAGGATTACTTAATTGACTTTGTCTCTCTTAAGAGCTGATTTGCATAAATTGAGTTTTGCAATCTGCATACATACCAAGAAAGTAAATAAATGCTTTTGGCAAACTGGTTATTTCAGCTATTTGGAGTTGATAGGAGTGCTATTTGGAATTTCTTCTTGGAAAAACTCTTCTGAATTTTTCCTTTAAATCTTTTAATGGTGGAAAGGGAAGTTGTATATGTGTGTGTGTGTGTTCACTTACATATTCAACCAAGGTTCTGCTAACACCCTGCTTGAACCATTTAGTTTCTTAACCCAAACTCAGGGGGCAATGACTGTGGACCAAAGGGATGATGCATGCAAGGGAGAAGAAAGTGGGTAACAGGAGGAAGGAAAAGAAATGACTATCATTACCCTTAAAAGGCAAATGGGTAACTGGGGAAAACCATTTGCTCTAGCTTTGGGTGGCCTGGGATATAGGCTTCGTTATCCATCTTTTGTCCTCTACGTTACTCAAGTTCTGAAAGTAAAACACCAAGGGATACCTAACTTCCTGGGCAGCAAGACCATTATTTTAAGAAAAAAGGGAAACAAGATTCTATTTTCTTCAAATAAGAAGTTTGGAAAGGTTAGGACTCTGCGTACACAGGCTAAGATCTCCAGCATACTTACTTTTGTCTCCTATGTTTTCCCCTGCCGCCTCCCCTTCCTCCTCCTCCTCCTCCTCCTCTTCCTCCACCTCTGTGGGCTGCACGTCATCCTGCGGGTCACAGGCACTAACCGGTGCGTTCAGACAGCAGTGGTTGAACCCGCTATCTCGAGGCAGAGTAAAACTTCGAGGCTTGCCCCCATTTCCATTTAACACTTGCATCCTCTCGCTCTCGGCCAAGGGGTACGGCCCATAGTGATCCTGTAGGTGGCACTTCTGAGTTGGAAGAGTGGACTGTCGCCTGTGCTCTGGGGAGATGGCCGCGGAGTCAGAGAAGACAGAATCCTCCAGGGGCAGAGTCTGAAGATAGTGTAATCCTGAGCTTGTCAGGGGCGTCTCGATTAAATCCTGCCAGGAGCGGCGCTGACTGGCTGTCTTGCGAATGGGGGACACCGCACTGCTCCCGGTCACTTCCTGTCGAAACTCCTCATGGGAGGACTGTGACTGGGAGGTCTCAGTGGACGAGAGCCGGCTGTGTTTTGCTTCCACGTAAGGACTGGCACAACTCATCTGTGGAAAGGAGCTTCTGATCAGTCTCCACAGAAATAACGGACCACCTCTGTCAGCAAGGCACATACTAGATTTCCACCGGCTAACATTACCAGTCAAGTTAATGACTAATCAAGTTTCCAGACATCTCAAAGTTAGGCCCCGGCTGATCTTTTAAGGGACTGAGATGGGGAGGGTTTAAATGCAGCACTACCAGACTCTCGTGAAAAATCTGACATATTAACATGCAAAATTTTACAATGAAGCATAAGAAAATCCGAGTGCTTACGTAAGAAAGTCAGCAACAACTACAAAAAAATCTGAAGTTTTAAAAAAACCTCTATGCATTTGAAGCTGTGAACAACTGTTGCCAAATTCGTATTTCCAGATTTTATGGAGTTTGGGGACGAGGGAAAGGAGAGAGGCTTCTGGATGTGAAAACAAGATGCCTATAATCAGACAGAACCCCTCCTCTTCCTCACAGCTGAATGTTTCCTCCTATGGGCCCCAAGGAAAAGCTTTCTTAGGATCTGGTCAATTTGTGGCACTTTGTAGAGAGGTAAAAATATAGGCAGGATGAGATTACACCCTGATGGGGATTGGCATTTGCCTTGAGCATGGGCACCACAGGGTACATAAACACAAAAGAAAAATGGGATACTTTTATTCCCGGAATTTCAAGTTTGGGAATATATAGCATAGCACAAAGCAGAACCAAGAAGAAGGACTGGCATCAAGTGAATGCTGTAAGGGACTTGCAGGCACCCCCGCTGGGGACAAGGCTTACTCCAGCTCCGGGGGCTAACAGATCAGCCCGGGCCCCTTTCTGGCAGGAGGAGCCAGATTTATCGAATGTGATCCTGGCAAATGGGGTTGCAGCTGTGGTCAGGACAAGCCCAGCTGAGGCGAAAGCACATACAGCCCTTCTGGCTAAAGGAGGAGAAGTTAAGTGGCATCTTCTGGGGGCAGTTTATCTTCCCACATGTTAATAACATATAAATAGTTTCCTTCTTGAAATCCCCACGCTGCTGTGATTAAGGAGCTGTCCCCTGAAGCTGCAGCTTCCCTTTCTTCCTCTTTTAGAAATATTTTAAAGGAATTATTCAGGCCCTGATGTTTTAGGGAAAGAGGGAAAATATGATATAAACTATATCTTGTCATTGACTTCATGATTTCATTTCTATCGCTCATCCTTGCATTCTGTTGCACTCAGTAAACTGAAGCATTTATTAAAGAAATGTGCATATATAGAGGAACAATTCTTAGGTAATAGACACTGTCATCAAGCGTGGTTATTAAAAATGTGGCTTCCCTTTTATAGTTATTGGCCAAAAGTGCCCATGTGTTTATTTCAGAAATATTTATTAAGCACTTAATAAATAAGTGCCAGTGCTGTGCTAGGCCTTGGGGATGTGTAGATCCATCCAACAGGGCCCCTGTTTGCAAAAGGTCCATAGTCTAGTCCACTCAGCTATTTGTAGTCCCAGATATGCTGATTTAATGTCTGCGTCTGCATTTCTTAAATGTTCCAGAAGTGATTCTTATGCACAACCAAGGTTGAGAAGTGTCCTCAAATTATATCAACATCTTGTGTAGTGCCTTTCTTATTTAAAATCTTCTAGAGCAATATGGAGGTGCAATTAGGTTGGCTGCTCTTGTCACCTAAATTCAGCTTCCATTTCCTATGTGGACGACTCAGTCCCAGGACAGGCAGAATTGACTCTTAAGATGCCGTAAGCAGTAGTATGTAGTCGAAACTGGGACACTACTGAGATGCTCTTAATAATTCTGATGGGAAATGGGCATAAATTGGGATAGTCCCAAGAAAACCAGGACAGTTGTTTTATCCCATTAAAAGATTAAAGTACAGTGTATACACAGAATAATTTACATACTTTTAAGAAGTCTGGAGTACCATATAAACACATACATTAAACCAGACCCCATGACTGTCTAAAAAGCTGTATGTCAAAACATGTGTTCAATACAGATATAATATTAATTTTTATGAGTTGTTTCTGAAGGACACAGGAATGAACTTCATTAGTGTAGAAATACATAAGGTCCATTTATATATCTTTTTCTAAGAAAACTTTTTTTCTTGCTGATATTTCCATGAAGGCTACTCTGACACAAACTGGATTTTTTAAAAATAAACCTGGGCAGATATTTATTACGCCTGGAATCTGTGGTGACTGTTTCTCTTGATTAAACAGTCTTTGCATACTTAAAATTTTTCCCCCCTTATTGCTTTTAGACTCCCTATTTTCCTTCCTCTTAGGAATCCTGAGGTCTGACATGCAATTCACTACATAGTTGTTTTTAACGAACAAAGGGATATCATCGAAGAATCTGATGCCAAATTACATACATGCTTGTTGGCAACTTACAGACGGAGGCCGTGGGTATGTATCGTAGGGCGGTGGAGGGCTGTCCTGTTTGGGTGTTGATGGAGTATCTGCTTCTTCCTTGTCACTCTCACTCCAGTAATCTGTAAATTCACACACATCGATACAATAACATTCTATTAAATGTTTCTAGCCATATTTTCAGGAACATACACTACCAGCTAACACAAGGAAATTTAAATTCCACTCCTACACCCTGCTCCCCAGCACCTCCTACTCCTACTTATTTTTGGCTGAGTTTTGAGGAAGAAGGAAGAGTACAATCACCTAATTCCAACCTTTAAAGCAAGCAATTATACATAGCTACAATTTTAAGGAGTTAAGAAAAAGACACTGCATAAGCCAAATCGGGTTTAGGGTGCTTTAGACTCCAGGCCAAATTATCCCGAACCTTTAATTAATGAATGATATCACATGATGCCTCTGAAAGGTGTATCATTTTACCCTAAAGATGAACACTCAAAGAAAAGCAATATATATATATATATATACACATACATACACACACACATACATACACACACACAAACACTGCTGTAGATCTCTACAGATATAAACAGCTCTAAAAATAACGTTCTCAATTCTTTCTTCTGGCTTCAATTCATTGGTTATCTAACAATCGCTGTTTCCAGAGTCATGCTGACATGAATCTCTATAACACCATACTCCCACCTCTACTTGGAAACACATGGCAAATCCTGATTCTTGCCAAATGCAAAAGGGCAAATTTGCTGATGTGGGCCGCAAGTTCCAAACTTCCAGAACTACTTAAAAGGGTAGAAAATGTAAGCCGCTAGATTTGGCAGACCTCAGGCAAGAGGGAAGGGAAAAAACTGAGAGATAAATCAGTTAAGTGAAATACAGCACAAAGGCCAATAATCAGAACCTGTTCCACTAATATCTTAACCACTCTTAACTCTGGGTTAATTCTTTACAAGATTTACAAAGAAAAACCTACAAGTATTACCCATATGAATCTCAGATGGTAAAGGAAGAGAAGTATTAAGACATATGTTCCTTATTCTTATGAAAATCCAAATCACAAAAGAACCATCATAAGGCCTAAATGATATTAAGATTTAGTTGAAAAATCATGGCACATATTTTTACAGGAATCCCTCTCCACCCAGGAATTCCTATACTGTAATATTTATATAAATTTTCCTTGTGATACTTATTAATAAATATAATATTAAGTACTTACTATATATGCTGAATAGAAAGTAGTAGAGCTGGGATTTGAACTAAGAAATCACCTTACCCTAAACCTTGAAGGGACTCTTTTGTATGACATAGTGGGAGAATTTAATTTGACATATATTCACGATGCTTTAAAAAAATTTTTTTTTAAAGATTTTTATTTATTTGTCAGAGAGAGAGAGAGAGAGCACACAAGCAGGGGAAGTGGCAGGCAGAGGGAGAGGGAGAAGCAGGCTCCCTGCCGAGGCTCAATCCCAGAACACTGGGATCATGACCTGAGCTGAAGGCAAACTCTTAACTGACTGAGCCACCCAGGCGTCCCCATACATGACGCGTTAAGCCCCCCTCCTCCCACTGCTCTATTACTCGGGCTATCATGAACAGCAATTCTTTAGCAATGGAGATTATTATATTCAGGTCTCAAAATACAAAAACTTTGAAAATGCTATTCCTACTTCAATTACTCCCTTTGACTAAAAGATAAGCAGAAACTAGTTAATCTAAATTTGTGTCTGGTATTTACAATGGACCATGCTGGTGACAGCCAGTATACTAAGTTTCCCCTCAAATATAAATTGATGTAGTTGCCCAGAGATGTACCCAACAAACAATGGTGGGAAAAGCATGAACTATATAGTTGGGCAGATGTAGGTTCAATTCTTGGCTGTACCGTTTACCATCTCTGTGCTCTTGTGATGGTTACTAAACCTGAGTCTCTTTCAACATCTGTAAAAGGGGGCTAATGATAACCACCTTTCAGAGTTGTGTGTATGTGTGTATGTGTGTATGTGTGTGTGGGGGTACTAAATAAGGTAATATATAGTCAAGTGTTTCGCACCTTGACAGCACTCAATAAATATTAGGACCCCTGATCTTCTTGGGTGGATTTGTAGGTAGCATGCTAGGACAGTCTGACCCAGATCACATAGGAGATAGATGCCTTGTGTTTATCTTCTTGGACATTTTTTTTTCTTGTAGCAAGTTTCAGCAATGAAAAGTGAATTCTGAAGTTCTGGGATCTGGGTTAGGTAGTTCTGTGGGAGCTTGCAATACTACAGGAAAGTCACTGCTGGAGGTGAAGGGATCAGCAACCCCCATCCCACCCCCAAGCGGTGGTTTACTAAGATCACTTTGTTTTTACCCTTTCCACTATTTCATGAAACTGTGGCACCTGTGTTGAGTTTCTCCTTGACCTCTGCACTGATACCTTGGGGGGTCTCAAAGAATTAGTACCTCCAGTGGTCCTTATCAGCATGTTGAGAAGGAGAGGATTGCCATTTTATACAATTCTCTATAGCTATCACTACAAGTGATAGATGTGGGAGATTCTCTCTCTCTCCTTTTCCCCCTCAGCTGAATTGGGAAGAATTCTAGTCCACTATTTGATGTAATTCTTGGTTTACTAAAAAGTACCATCAATCTATAGCTTTCTTGGGTTGCTAAAGAAAAGACTGAAATCCCACCTTGTAAATTAGCTTCATTTCTCACAGTAAGTTGTGTGTCTTTGAGAGAGCAATGCCAGAGAGGAACCTACACAGAAAATTCAATTATGGTTTATTTGGGGTTTATGTGGAAAATTACAGGCACACCGTTTGCTCAGAGGCTGAAACCAGTTTGATTTGCATTCTAAGAGCAAATTATTTTTTTTAGCTTTCTATTTAGCACAAAATAAATGGGAACTCTTAATGTCTCTTGTAGTGGTATTCAATTTTATAAGTAACTAATCATGAATAAACAGTGCTGTCAATAGAACAGGAACATTTTCACTTTACTTCTCATGTTGATATAAAAGGAAAATTTGAAAAAAAAGAATGACTCTTTCATCTAAAACTACCAAAAATATATTTCGTTCATTTTTATGTGAGTAAAGCTTTAGAAAGACTTTATGTATGACAGAAAATAATGTGTCATGAACGTCTGACTTGAAGGTGGAAAAATATAGAAAAATGATTAGCAGACAATTAGCCAAATTGTGATCTTGGCATAATTTAGTGTAACCCTGTTTTCTCTAAGTACAACAATAAATAATGAAAGAGAAGCCCATATCCTTTACACTTCCGTAGCTACAGACAGCAATTCACTAAACTTTTATTTAAATCAATATAAGAGTCATTTCTAAGCTGCACTGGCTACTTAAATAAAAAGTGCTTGGCAGTTGTTACTCCTTTACATGTTTGTGAATGTTTCCCAACCCTCAAAGAGCTATATTTTGTATGAAGTTTAACTTCAGTACTGAGAACGGTTCTCGGGAGATGTCAAAGAACTGTACAGAAGTGTGGAGTAGATACATGCATCCAGTTGCTTTCTCTACAGAATATACCGTAAGACCTAATTGTGCAGAAGGTAGGAAGTGTCGTATGCTTCTGACCTAGGTCAGAGTGCCTGAGGAATATATACTCTATGTGGAAATCCAAATTACTTCAGAGATTCTGCTTGCGATGTGCTAGCAAGAGAGAGGTGAATTATTAACTATTAGCTTCTGCCAATGAATGCCTACCGCTCCAGAAGGCACTAAAATATATACTCACATGACCAGGGCAGCATGAATCCATGGACTGAATACTTATTGGAACCTGCATGTGCAATATAACTTACCAGTTCTTTAATCCACAATGAAATTCGACTATATAATACCAGGTACAAAGAAAATTCACTAAAATCAAGACCATGCTAAACTTCAAAGTGATAAAATACAAGAGTTGAGCCTGAAAATCCAAGATTCCTTATTCATGTAAATTACGTTTTTTTTCAAAGATTCATTTTTTTCTATCCGTACATTGCTCACTTTTAATTCTTGCATCTTAAAAGAATCAGAAACAAGTCTGTATGCACCTATAAAGAACTCTTTTATGACTTTAAAAAAATGTGAAAAGGAAGGCTAGTATTTTTTTTAGTACTCTGAATACAATTTTAGGCCTATAAGTTAAGTTGAAGTATGAAAGGTTTATTCCTTAAAAAAACTTTTAACAATGAAAAAATGTGGCTTGATAACTGGCCTGACATTTCTTAGTCCTGGCTGGGATTTGCCTGTGCACACTGATTTGATGGAGATTGCTTCCACGTTATTTGTGGAAGTATCCATGCTGCTTCCACTCTCAGGAATGCTTTATTTCGTTACTTCTTTAACTCTACTTCCTTCTCATCCTGTGAGAACGAGTTCAAATAATGGAGTCGACATAAAGCCTTTTCCCATTCCCCTCCTGGAAGCAATCTCTCCAGCCAAATTTCCACAGAACTTGATTTGTACTTTCTTACATTTCATTTTCTGTATTATATTAAGAGTACCCTTTCTACTAGAATTCAGTGTAATTTCAGGCAGGATGGGTGCCTATTTCACCTTAATTTAATCAGAGTGCTAGTTGAAGGCATTACACAGAAAAGTTTCATATTGAATAAAATATCTTCTCTTCCCCTCTTCTGCTGACTTTACATCAGGCTCACGATCACTTCCTCTAGCAAGTTATTTCCTCATTAATCATGCCTCTTTCCCAGGTTTTTTTTTTTTTTTAATTTTGCATCCACTTAGCAAATTTTTTGTCAGTTGCACATTGTGCAATCATCAGGACTCATTTACTTTATGTTGCTTGTTCATTTTTCTTTTTTTTGTTTTTGTTTTTCTCAAGCAATTTCAAGGGTGTATCTTTGAGATCCTCAACAAGATGATATATTCCTATTGGCAGGAACCACGTTTTGCTATTTCTTTGAAATCTTCCTGCCCTAACTCCTCACCCTTCAGTGCTCTACCCATTCTCATTCCCTCACCCAATGGCTCTAAACCAGGGGTCGGTAAACTAAGGCCTGCAGGCCAAATGAGGCTCTCTGCCTGTTTTTACATGGCCTGTGGATCAAGAATGGTGTTTAGATTTTTAAATGGGTAAGAAATCAAAGGAAGAATATTTTTTGAAATGTAAAAAATGATGTGAAATTTAATCTCAGTATCCATAAATAAAGCTTTATTAGAGCCCAGCCACATCCCTCACATGTGTACAGCTGCTTTCATACTGTAATGGCCGACTTTGACCAGTTTAGACAGAAATCTTATGGGCTTGCAAAGCCTAAAACATTAACTACTTGGCTCTTCACAGGAAATTTGCCAACCCCCTGCCCTAAACATTTGCTGACAGTTTTGGCTGAGGTTTTACTCTGAGAGGAAACAGAAGGTTTTTAGAATTTCTCTGATTTGAGTCTCTTTTGAAACTTCCAAAACCTGTTGATGCTTCCAAGGGATGTACAATAAACACTTTTTGGAAATGTAAAGCAACTTCAGAATGGTGACTGCAACTTTCAGTAAAATTTTAATTTTGCATAATGACATTGTCTTTTGTAAATCTGAGGTCAATACCGAGGCAAGTTCCATAAGATTACAGAGTAACAGATGAACAGAACCGAAGAACATAACCAACTGAGATAATTTATGGAAGAAGGGGTCATCCATCTGAGCTCTTTGCATAAAAGTCCACTAAAATGTCTATGAAACTGATAAACAGGAAAAAACAATGCACCAACAAGGACCTGAACTTTGGCCAATATTTTGGATCAATTACAGACTTATTAAGATTTTTTCCTCCTTTGAAAAAAAGACTGAGAGAGACAGCAACGAACTCCACACTAGGTGCTCCAAAAATTTCAGAGTTTATTCCCCATCTGTTTAGTTTACTAGACCTTACCTATAAGATGCTATGATTTGGATTCAAAGTGCCCAGAAGAGAAATAACCACAGCCTGGTGATTGCATGTTCATTCAAATGATAGTAGTGAATCACTGTATAGGATAACAACAAAACAAAACAAAACAAAACCCTGTGACTCCAAAAAAAAAATATATTCCTTTACCTTGTTCTTGCTTAATCCTCTCTCTTTCTGCATATCCCGCAGTTAGCATATTGATTCTGTTAAGCCACCTGAAAAAAACAAATATTAAAATCAGTAATATTGCAACTTAATTTTTTATATTTTACTTCTTAAATATATTTATCTTAAGAATAAAGACGATGTGGTATATATACAATGGAATATTATTCAGCCATAAAAAAGAATGAAATCTTGCCATTTGCAATGACATGGATGGAGCTAGAGAGTATTATGCTAAGTGAAATAAGTCCATTAGAGAAAGACAAATATCATATGATTTCACTCTTATGTGGAATTTAAGAAACAAAATGAATGAAGGGAAAAAGAGAGAGACAAACCAAGGAATAGACTCCTAACTCTAGAAAACAATCTGATGGTTACCAGAGTGGAAGTACGTGGTGGGGGGGCTGGTGAAGGGGATTAGGAGTGCATTTGTCATGATGACCACTGAGTAATGTAAAGAATTGCTGAATCAGTACATTGTATACCTGAAACTAATAAGACGGTATATTAACTATACAGGAATTAAAATAAAAACATTATTATTATGATTTTTAGAGAGGGAAGGGGAAGGGGCAGAGGGAGAGGGAGAGAGAGAATCTTAAGCAGACTTTAAGCCCAGCATGGAGCCAATGCGGGGCTCGATCTCACAACCCTGAGGATCATGACCTGAGCCGAAACCAAGAGTTGGACCACTAACTGACTGAGCCATCCAGGAGCCCCAAAATTACAAAACTTAATAAAAATATTTATTTCAAGATATTGAAGAATATAAGAAATAATTCTACATAAAAGATGTGTTCTTTGCTACTCTTGACACATGGAGTCTTCAATGAGCTATAATTTGCTGTAGTACAAATTGTTCCCACACAAAAGATGCTATTTTGATAGAAAAGTCTTAGGCAAACCTGTTCATATCTGTAATATAGAGGGTTTTAAGATGATCAGAGCCCTATTAATTCTGTTGCTCCAAATTTAGAAGCACTCCAAATATCGCTGCTGATTGTGTCTTCAGAGCAAATGCTCTTTTACAGTTACTTAATATCATACAATATATACTGATGAGGGAGAAAGTTATGGACCTTGCCTGTCAAAATAAATTTTAGTATGAAATATTAGTTTTGATGAAGGTCATTTAAGTTTAGTGATCCAGGGGGAAACACATGTCAGGAGTACTTTGGAAATTTGTCTCTAAATACAAGGGTATTAGGTTTTCTAAAGACAAAATGAACAAACATAATTTTAAGCTCTGTTCAGATCCTGAAAATTTATTTCCACGAATGATAGTAACCTAAAAATAAATCTTTCCTCTCTCAGTAGTGCTGCTATTGCCAGTGTAGGGGCCTGCATTGTTTCAATTTCCATCTTTTGTCCCACCAGGTCTCTCCCTGTGTTCATTATTTCAGCTGTTTACACTGCATCAGATTATCAAATCATAAAATCTTTAAATTAACCTGACACTTTCCCATTGGTCCATTCTGAGCTATGATCCATATACTTTCCCAAATCAGAAATTAAGGAAGAACCCCCCTTCCAAACTACCATGAGTTTGGAAACAATAGTATAGTTAACATCATTAAACTGTGGAATAATCTGAGCAAGATATATTTTTAAGAAAAAATTGTGTTTGAGAAATTTTTCTCCCAAGAGTTTATCTCCTGTGTCAGATGGAAGACAATGTGATTTGAAGTGAGTCATATATTTCAGCATTTATGTCCAGTGGTATCCACTGTGCAGCAGATTCTTAGAATATCTTGAAAAGGGAGGAAATCTGTGTCTCTCACTGACAAAATCACATCCATGGAAATTTATGCTTTAATTTTAAGAATAAGTCACCTAAAGGCTCAACTTTATTTTGATAATACAATGTAATTATCACCTCAAGTATTTTTGGGAAGTGAAGAAGGGACTGGAACAGAAAGGGGAATAAAATAAAGATTGATCAAATAAATTCAGTAGCATAAAGTATACTCACACATTCCAGAAAATTACAAATGATAAGAAGTCAACTTCATGATAAATAACCCTGAAAAATGACTCTAATCACTAGTAAAAAGTCAAAATTGAAATTTAGTCTATAGGTCATTTGTAGCGAGAAAGGGGTTGAATTTGTACTACAACTTTTAGCACTCTTGAGAAAGACTTATCTGGTGCTTTTTGGGTGAAAATGATGATAATAGCACTAGAGGAACATGTATTATTAGATTTTAATCTAGTACCTCATACTGACTATTTTAAAAAACATCAGTGAAATTGCATTTTGTCAGGAGTTTAAAGAACAATGAGGTCTTTATGAGATGAATCAGAAAACTAAAAAGAGGCTTCCTTGATTTTTCAGTTCAACAAATTTACTAAGTGCCTGCTATATGCTGAACAATGAGCTATGTTTTGGGGGCACAAAAATGAATAAGACATAATTCCTGCCTTCAGTGTGTTCCAGAATTGCTAAATGTCACAAGACAATCGAAAATTCGACTACTTTTAGGAAGAAAAATTCTGTTCATGATAAAAACTCTTTAGAAAGCGTGTGGCTTACTCAGGCCAGTGTGTACACGCACAAAAGGCTGAACACTACACTGCTGTTGGTGCTGTCTTGGATAAACCTGTCCTTAAGGCCTCAGCTTGAAGAGGCTGACCTATATACTTGTTGCAGTATAATTTGGTATTTATAGGCCATTATAAACAGCAGATATATGTGCAGTAACGGAGTCAAGAAATATTTAATGAGAACCTATGTCCGCAAAGTCCTGTTCCAAGCACAAAGGACGTAGAGAGAAACAAAACCAAGCGTCTGCCTTCACAGAGCCTACATCTTAGTGAAGGCAACAGACAATAAATAGGGATACAAATAAACATATGTCATGTTAGTATCAAGTGCCATTTACAAAAATAGCTAGGTGAAAAATTAGAAAGTCAAAGGTGCTAGGAATGGGGGGAGGCTATTTTAAGAAAAACCTGTTAGGGATACAAGCATTGAATTTAATGATGGGGAAGTGCTTTAATATTAGGTCTACATTCAGCACCTTACTCTAACACTAATTTTTTTTTAAAGATTTTATTTATTTGACAGAGAGAGACAGCGAGAGAGGGAACACAAGCAGGGGGAGTGGGAGAGGGAGAAGCAGGCTTCCCGCTGAGCAGGGAGCCCGATGCAGGACTCGATCCCAGGACCCCATAATCATGACCTGAGCCAAAGGCAGACGCTTAACGACTGAGCCACCCAGGCGCCCCAACACTAATGTTTTAAACCAAGATAATATAGGTAAGGGGATATTGAGCCTAAAGGAAACATTCCCATGAAGTTGTCAATAACTAACAGAGAATAATATATTGAGAAGAAAAAAAATGAGTAAGAACTATGGGAGAAATGTACAAAAAGTAATTACCAAAGAGAAATGGGTGAATCCTCACAATTGTAAGGACATATGTGCTGACACGATAAGGAATATATAGGCCAAATGAATTCAGTATATAAGTTTCAGAATACTTGAGAAACACGATATTTTGTTTTCTTCCCACAGATTTCACAAAGACTGGCAATTTTTTTTTCATGTTTCAGTGCTCATTTCTGAGGAGGAAACAGATGGATGGTGGTGGGGGCCTCAAAAAGTGTTTTTGCAAATTACCTCACAATCAAACTTACAGCTGCTCAGAAAATAGAAGGTGAGATTTTAATATTCCACATGTTTATATATGTATAAATACATACATTTGGGTATATGTATATGTATGTATAGATGGGTATATGTAAATTTTATAGTTCATAAAAAGGCATTTTCTATGCCTAAAAAGACCCTGATTAACATGTTTTGTGAATAATTAAGTTATGCTAATTCTTTGATAGAGGTGATTGTGTTCTAGTGTATACATCTTGTAAGATGGGATAATGTTCATTTTTACCACTAATTCTGTTTGGTCATGATGTAAACATTTCATATTCATCCCAAGGGCACTGAGCTCAACATGCGATAAAATAGATAGTGAGTAACTAGAACAGTAGAATTATAAAATTATTAAAACACAAAATAGAGCATTACAACCTGCCCCCTCACCCCATGAGCATGTGAATGAACATTTTCATTTTGAGAACAAATTAAGGAGAAAAGGCTCTCCAAATTCTAATTGCCTAGTGTGAAATTTCTAGAATGGTAACATAAATCAAAAGAAGATTATGGCAAGTACAAGAAAGACTTAGTTCCCTTATTAATAATAACATATATTTTTAAAATATTTTATTTATTTATTTGACAGAGAGAGAGAGGGAACACAAGCTGGGGAGAGGGAGAGGGAGAAGCAGGCTTCCCGCTGAGCAGGGAGCCCGATGCGGGGCTCAATCCCAGGACCCTGGGATCATCACCTGAGCCGAAGGCAGACACTTAGCCCACTGAGCCACCCAGGCGTCCCAATAATAACATATTTTATCAAGTGTTTTGAACACTTGTTCGCCATTTCCTTGTATTCATTTCCTTGCTTTGGACAAACCGTGCCTTTACTCCCATGTGTCAAAAAACAAAGATTATTTATAAAACATATCAAGTGTTCATTTAGTGTGCTCAAGTGCATTTATAAAGTTGCACCATTTTGTGCCTAAAAATATCTGGATACTGGGGCGCCTGGGTGGCTCAGTCAGTTAAGTGTCCAAGTGATGGTTTCAGCTCAGGTCATGATGTCAGGGTGGTGAGACTGAGCCCCGCATGGGGCTCCGCACTCAGTGCAGAGTCTGCCTCAGACTTTCCGTCTCCCTCTGTCCACCCCGCTCTGTCTCTCAAATAAATAAAGAAATCTTAAAAAAAAAAATCTAGATACTAAATTTTTTGGAGATACACAAAGAAAGGTAAATGGGCTAAGAGTCCAAAGTATATAAAAGGAATATATATTGCCAGCAAACACTTAAATAGCACTTACAATTGAACAGGGACTATTCTAAGCCCTTTATGTGTGCTCATTTGCTCCTCACAATAGTCCCCTGGGTGGAGATGGTTATTATGTCCATCTTTTTCAAGGGGCCAATACCTGGCATAAATTGGTCCAATTCTATAGCCAAGGTCACACAGCTAGTAAGCACGACAGCTGGGATTTGGACAGTCTGGTTCTAAAGTCTATGCTCTTAATCACTATGCTGTGCTGCCTCTCCCTAACTGTTGGCAAGTTATATAGGTCATACGGAAGACCTGTGGAAGACCTGTGAAAAGGAAAAATCTGAATCTTAAATCTAGTTTCTCTGACTCTAGAAACGAGAGAGGGGAAAGGAAGGAAAAGGAAGAAAGCATCAAATTCATAAAAGCTAAAGTGGAAACCTGGAGCAGAATTTTGTAGATGATGGGAATATATATATATATATATAATATTATATGTATATGTAAAAAATATATATTTCTCACTCCCTCCCAGCAGCCCCAAATAACCATGTAGCCATCTAGTCACTTGGCAGTATAATCTTTTCCACTGATAGAAGAAAGATGACAAAAAGAAATACTAACTTTGCTTAGAACTGAATAATTGAGATGGATGTTGTGCCATAAACACTCAGCACTTGGAAAAGTTAGTTTTTTGGGGGGTGATTATCTTTTCCCCCCACCTGGAAATAAATTTGAAGACACATTCTTGAAATGGACTTAAAAAAATTTTTTTTTTACAGTGGATTTTTTTTTTTTTGGTCTATATATGGATTCAGGCACATTTTTGGTAAACTTGATAAACAGTCAACAAGTTTATTTTGATCTTTAAAATGCTCTTCTCTGAAATTAGCTAAGGCTAGATGCAGCTATGCCTGAGTCCATTTTATTTTAAACTGATCGATCACAGTGACATCATTCTCTAATATTAATGTGGAAAGCTTAGAATTCTAAGCCTAACTGACTTTCTAAGTGCTTTGAAATTTAAGTAACATTTTACCTGTTCATATCATCAAGATGCTCAGCAGCAAAATAAAAGCTTTTGATTTTAGGATGACAGGCTTTGAATGCACTGCAAAAGGAAACAAAGTACACTTATTTTATTTCAAATTGGGAAATAAGTTAGAACCAAATAATTTTTATGGGTAAAATTACCTCAACATCTAACCCGAGTTCACATATATAATGCTTCTGCCATGATGACAGAAATCACTAAAAAATTCAATTTTCTGCCCACAAAACTGCTTTCTCATTGTCTCAATTTGAAAGCATTAGACAAGCAACCTATAATTTAAAAGCTAGAAATTAAAAAACAAAACAAAACTAAACAAAACAACCGCCCTTCCTTTCTCTCCCTCTCCCCAGATAAAATCAACTTACTATTTCTTGCGGCATTCACTGGCTCTATCAATTTTAAATTCAGGCAGACTGATGAATCCTTCTGCTTTTTCATCCTGAAGAGGCAACACTCTTATTTAGGGTATTATACACAAAGTGTTGAAGCTGATAATACTATATAACTATGCCTTAAAAATTTATACTAATAAATCTGTTCATTTAATTTCTTAAATTTGACATTTTAGAGATTAGAGTTCCACTCTTATTTGTTATATTCCTTTAAATTGAAGATACACTTTGAACATTTAGAATACTACAAATTAAGATATACACAGAAATTTTGAAAACTCCTTATATTAGAATGAAGATAGAAAATTCTTTAAATTGTCAAAGTGAAACATGCTTTATAAATAATTTTCTCACCAGAATGTATATATACTTCCATAACATATAAAATAGCTTCAGTCCACATTCACCATTCATAATTTTCTATAATTTTTAATGTTCAGATGTAAAATACATTGAAGTTTACTAATTCAATTCCTTTTCTGCCTCCAAAAAATCTTTTATCAAACCTGAATTAAATACACTGTGTAATGAAAAAATGTTCATCATCATTAGCCATCAGGGAAATTCAAATCAAAACCACATTGAGATACCACCTTACACCAGTTAGAATGGCAGAAATTGACAAGGCAAGAAACAACAAATGTTGGAGAGGTTGTGGAGAAAGGGGAACCCTCTTACATTGCTGGTGGGAATGCAAAATGGTACAGCCACTTTGGAAAACAGTGTGGAGGTGCTTCAAAAAATTAAAAATAGAGCTACTGTATGACCCAGCAATTGCACTCCTGGGTATTTACCCCAAAGACACAGATGTAGTGAAAAGAAGGGCCATATGCACCCCAACGTTTGTAGCTGCAATGTCCACAACAGCCAAACTGTGGAAAGAGCCGAGATGCCCTTCAACAGATGAATGGATAAAGAAGATATGGTCCATATATACAATGGAATATTACTCGGCCATTAGAAAGGATGAATACCCAACTTTTACATCAACATGGATGGGACTGGAGGAGATTATGCTAAGTGAAATAAGTCAAGCAGAGAAAGTCAATTATCATATGGTTTCACTTATTTGTGGAACATAAAGAATAGCATAGAAGACATTAGGAGAAGGAAGGGAAAAATGAAGGGGGGGCATCGGAGGGGGAGACGAACCATGAGAGATGATGGACTCTGAGAAACAAACTGAGGGTTCTAGAGGGGAGAGGGGTGGGGGGATGGGTTAGCCTGGTGATGGGTATTAAGGAGGGCACGTACTGCATGGAACACTGGGTGTTATATGAAAACAAGGAATCATGGATCACTACATCAAAAACAAACGATGTAATGTATGGTGATTAACATAACATAATAAAATAAAATTAAAAAATATGCTGTGTATTCAAGATTTTATAAATGAAATAAGTTAATTTGATCTTCAAATATCTACCTTGCTATGAATGCTATATATATAAAAGTCATTTTCTACTTGGACAATTGAATGAAATCCATAAAATCCTCCTCTAGAGCTCTAACGTGGCAAGGAAAAACAAGATAGGAGAATTACCCAAAATGTTATGTTTGATACAAGTCATTCCAACTAGGCTAAGACTACCTTTGGCTAAATCCTTTCATTGTTGTTGTCCCTTTCATGGTCATGACCAAGCTCCTCAGACTTTTACTCCCCCAAACTTTGATCTGGCTGTTATTAGTCCATGGCTCCTTACATATCAAGTTCAAGTGAGATTACACCCCCATCTGCTATCTCAAGGAAAAAAAATATAAATTCTCAATTCTTTCAGTATGTATGTATAAATGTAAAACTTAATAAAAATCTGATTATTACTGATAGTGACTGAAATGTATATTATAAAAAAGAGAGTATTATAACTTTTTCAATATTTTTCAATATGTGAGTATTTTTTTCTTCCAACCTTGGGGTAAACACAATAGTTTCAAATCTCTTTTTCAACTTTGACGTCTGCTATACCAACCTTGATGTCTTTAACTTAAAAATTCTAAATTTTGAACAATTTAAAATATTTTTGGGGTAGATATGATTTTCCTATAATGATGTGATAAGGGATTTTTACATTTCTCCTAAAAAATCACACTAAGTTATTCTTATAATATATACTATGGAATTATTCATTCACTTCTCACAAGGCTAACACAGTAACAACTCTGAAACTTAGCTACTGTTCAATAAAAAAGGGTCTCAGTTTTTTATCACTTAAATTTTGAAAGATAGAATATAATATAGCATACAGCAGACAAATCTACAAGTGAACTTAAAGAGAAATGAAGACTATATTTTGATACTCTTTGGTTGGCATATAAAAAGTATTTGATATATGTTAAGTGAAAATACTGGTAAAATTGTTTTTTATATCTAAAATAAGATATACTTAGTGAAATAGAACACTTTTTAGGTAATTGTGTGATTGGCACAAATAATATCAAAAGTGCAGAAAATAACCAAGTCCTTCTATATAATATAGGCATTTATATTAAACAGCAAAATGTTACTTTAAGATTTTACAAATGAAATAAGAGGTCAATTTGAAAAATATTACTAACAGCATACTACTGAGTACTGAGTGTATGCCAGCCATTGTTCTAAGTGGGCTTTACATGAACTGATTCATTTCATCCATACGATAGCCCAGTGAGCTAGGTACTATTATTACTCCCCCTTTTAGCAAATGAGGAAACTGATGCTTAGTAACTCATGTGGGTTAAGTCTATTCTCTTAACCATAACAAACATAACTCCTCTAGACATTTTATGTTATAATAATAAGCATAATTATGTTGTTAAATTATATTTCAAAAATTAATCTTCAAATGCAAATTGATGAATGTCTTAACATGACAGTATTCCTGTAAGACTATTTAGCCAGCACACTATATTAAACCATGTCCATTTTTTGAGAAAACAAGTTAACAATAGGAATTATTGTAAAAAAAAATCTTAATAAGGTCAACTGATACATGGGTATGGCAAAAGAATGAAAATAAATGCAGAGTCAAAGAAATATCAACGAATAAGGTATACTCTTGTGGTAGGTTATGATATAACTACTCTGGATAAAGATCTGTTTACTGCAAATGAAACAGGAAATCATAAGAACAATTTAAATATACTATATACACTCCCCTTCCCCCACCCCTCGAATGGGCCAAATGAAATGAATACTTGCTGATTTTCAAAACTAGTCTCCCAGTTCATGTATTCCTTAAGAAAAACAAATTCATGTGCTCTTAATTTACTTAAATTATTAAATAACTTCCTTCCCCCAAGAAAACAGAAAAAATTTTAAAACTTTGAGCAAAAGTGAGACATTTAAAAAAAATCTATTTCAAATTCCATGTATAATCCTAGTTAAGCTATTGCTGGAATTAGTTTGGAATTTTGAATTAGATACACAGAATTTTATCTGTGTTGTGTTTTAGATATGTTGCCACATTTGAATAATTGAGACAACTATCTTTCCAGAACCCCAAAATGCAATCATTTTAAGAAGGCAGATTAAAAAATAACTAGCAGAACTCTCCCAAATAAGGATTAAGGTGGTTATATGATTTTAAATTTTAAGTCCTCAAATGGTGATTCTTTGGGTTAAAGACAGAAAAATGGATGAGAAAACAAAACCCTCTGTCTTACCTCCTCATTAATATACCAATATAGGGATGCATCCTTTAGGACAAACCAATATTTTTTCCATTTCTGTGAAAAATAACTCTTTGCATCTTTCTTTTTCCAAAGCCAACCTTCACAGTCACCCCGGCCAAGATCTTTGCAAGAAATTCGTCTTTTGCTCTTGCCAGCTATAGGACCTAAAGATCATAGTAGGTAAAAATGCTCTTTAAATTTTACACAAGTGTGAAGGTAGAAGATTAATCTATAGCTCATAAAGATAGGTCTGGGTACTTAACCTTAAAAATTCTTATTTTTACACTGTATCAGAATAGAAAACTATGGAAATCTTTAATACTTTTTCCCCCACCTAAGTGACATGCAATGGAATCAGGAGTGTGTAATCCCAGTCTCAAAAACAGTCAAGACCATTTATTGTAAAAGGTACCCCTTCATCATAATTGACCTGAAAGAGAAGCTGGTCTTGGCAGTTCTTGCTAGGGGTTTGTGATCTTCCAAACCACAATGGGCTCAGGCAAGAGAGGATGCGTGAAGTATGCTGATTATCACAGTGCAAACTAAGCAGTTATATATTTCATTTCATTTCATTTCATTTCATTTCATTTCATTTCATTTCACTTCATTTCACTTCCTTTTCTTACCTTTGTTTTTCTTCTTTGATTTGTGCTGCAGTGAGGACTGCTGAAATGTCTGAAATCAAAGGACGGGAAGAATGTTATTTGACACTTGGGGTGCCATCCGCAGTGCCAGAATGCTGCACAGAACTCTCAAGAGCTGAACAATGACTCTGAACCCAGGTCAGAGAAAGTACTTTCTTTTTCCAAAGACTCAAAACAAATTCATATAGATCATGTCACTTAACTTTCTAATCAACCATGAAGCGGGAGAGGATATTATCATTGTCTTTCTTTTGTAGACAGAGAAAGCAGAGCAGGAAGCACTGGTGAAACTCAGGACTCTTACATATATACAGTACTATTTTTTACCCCCTTTTTTTTATGGGTTTATTGTGCTTTACCAGGCAATATCTCATTTGATTCTCACAAGGGCTTATGAAGTAGTCAGGCAAATAGGACTCTCACTTGTTACTTTGAAGTTCATTCCTTTCCATAAGCCCCCAGCACTTGAATGAATATTTTCTTGTCATACCTACTTCTGTTACTAGGACTGGGAAGTAATCTTCGTGTAAGTCATGTTAGTACCTCATCTCCAATGATCTTTACTTTTCCTCTCCTCAGCTACCCATCCCCATGACCAGGTTTGTTATCTTAAGCACACCCCAACCACTGCCTCTATTATTGACATTTTATGTAGCCCAATAGCTCCAACCCAGTCATTTTTAGAAAATCTTCATTGAGGAATCCAATTTGTCAGCCTTACCACCCTTTTGTGCCTTTTTTTTCCTCACTTAGTTTTCATGAGACATCATTATAATCATTATATTGAACCATGCTCTCTCCATCATACTTGCCTAGCTAAACAACCATCTCACCTAAACCCGCCTGTCTGCTCTTATGCTAAGTACCAGAAAAGCCTAATGTTTTAAGAGAAAAACCCACAACTGTATTGACTGGTCTAGCTTTCAATGACCACAAATCATTGGTTCTAGTCAGTCTACTAAGCTACATTGTTGTTCAGTGGTATAATGAGGTTAATTATGTTCTCATGATTAGGTAGCTAACAAGGTACAGAGATAGCATGTGTAATTTCAATTCACAGATACTCCTTCAAAATGAATTTTAGGTAACAAAATCTTCTTTCTCTTTAGAAGGGTATGCCTATAAGGGGTAATTGGATTTTGCTTACATAAAACTCGCTGGTCTTGGTTTTATACAATACATTTGTATTCTGTGACATACTTTCTTATTTGGTATCTTTGTTCATAAAATAACATTCTACTTATAGTAATTTTCTTGTTTTGTATATGGTTTACTTAATTCTCATGAATATGGTATTACGGATGGATACCAGTCCTAAAGATAAGGATCAGATAAATTGCTGATGTACAGCGTAACCCAGAAATAATTACCTTTAAAGCAATAGAAACATGTCTGTATGTGGTGTGTATGTGTTTACAAAACTTTGCTGGACACATGGCTACAGAAATTCATAATCAATTTTGGAGAGGAAACAAAAGATAAAACCTGTTATGCTGTGTTGATTTTCTTGAGTGCACTTTGTTTCAAAATAAGAGCTCAAATAATAACTCAGGCTAGTGTGCTCAAGTATAGGTAATTTACATAGAGTTATTTTCCCTAAATTGTTTGTCTATAAAATTACTGATTGTTTTTTTTTCCTTTCATGTTTCCACAAGTACTCATTATAATCTTACAGTTCATTATTCTTAAAAATGACAAAGGTGGGGGTGGTTTATTTTTAGGGAGCTATATGTATAACAGACAACTTGAAAGAATTGAGTTATATAAGGTACCTCCTATGCCTTTTGCATGCTATTTCTTAGATCCTGGAGGTCTACTTTAAAATCTACACAAAAATATATTTTATGCTCTCCAGGCTTTCTTTATAATAAGATTATCTTTTCTTTCCCCATAGATGTTTTTATACTGACTGTGATTGCAGAGTATAATCAGTGTACATACTGTTGAAACTCAAGAACTCCCAGGCACGCAATATAGATTTATCCAACATTCAAAGAAGCAAAGCCATAGATGTCTTTTGTAAATATTACAATGAAATTATCTTAAGAGATTTTATTATTTTTCAGTGTGACTTTTTCTAAAATAAAAAAATGAATTGAACAACAGTTGAGCCTTCAACAAGGTGGGGAGCTAGGGGCACCAACCATATAACTTTTGACTTCCCCCAAAACTTAACTATTAATAGCCTACTGTTAAACAGCTTAACCTACTGTTGACCGGAAATCTTACTGATAATGTGAACAGTTGATTAACTTTATATTTTATATGTTATATGTATTATGTACTGTATACTTACAACAATACCTAAATTTTTCTTATTATTTTTCAGAATTTCTAGGCGATGTGGTTTGCCTGTGAGTTTTTTTTCAAATTGTCACAAATCTCTAAAAATTTTTCCAATATATTTATTGAAAAAAACCCACATATAAATGGACCCATACAGTTCACATATAAGTGAATAACCCGTGTTGTTCAAGGGTCAACTGTATATGCTTTTTTTTATTATTATGTTATGTTAATCACCATACATTACATCACTAGTTTTTGATGTAGTGTTCCATGATTCATTGTTTGCATATAACACCCAGTGCTCCATGCAGAACGTGCCCTCTAATACCCATCACCAGGCTAACCCATCCCCCCTCCCTTCTAGAACCCTCAGTTTGTTTTTCAGAGTCCATAGTATATGCTTTTGAAAGTAATAGGGAAAGCAATGAAAATTACAGTTAAGGAAATAGGTCTCTAGAAGAGAATTAATACAGCCAGCTTCAGGCTGCTATTTCAGAGGGGCCTGCTTGCAAGGTTGGCCCTCAGCTATCATCTGGGAACTTGGCTGGTAAACAGTTCCCTATAACTGACATGAGCTTCACTAAGCAACAAGACTGTTTTGCCCACCCAGAGACTAAACACCTGTTTTTCTTTGGGGAATCTAGAATTTTTGTAGTTGCTAGACAGAGGATGTCTCTATGACCAATCCAATAAAAGTCTTGGTGCTGAGTCTTTAATGGGCTTTCCTGGGCAGAGACAATATACACATGACTGCATTTTTGCTGCTTGTGTGAGAATGCACTCCACATGATCTGTCACAAGGAGAAAGCATAGGAAGCCTGCACATAGATTTCTCCAGATCCCATAGGTGTCTTTTTTCCTTACTGCTTTGACTATACCTCCTTGTTGTGTCACTGTAGTAAATCTTAGCTGTGGGTAGAACTACATGCTGAGTCTTGTGAGTCTTTCTAGTGAATCACAGAACATTTGGGTGATCTTGGGGACCCCTGAAAAAGCCTCATATTCAAAAGAGTCCTTACAAACTTATATTAAAAATTGTTCATATGCATAAATAAGCTCCTGACAGTGAAGGTTTCCTCATGTCATCAGCGATGGGGTGATTAGGCACTCCTGGTGTGCAAATTTATAATCCTGCATAGTCTTTTCTAGTAGAACTGATGGAATTCTTCATTCTGAATGACAATTGGTATCACTTTTTTTTTCAGTTTCTAATGATATCATGAAAAATTTCACATAAGCAAGACATTAAGAACAGACCCATGACTATTAAAGAGGGCACATTCTGTGTGGAGCACTGGGTGTTATGCACAAACAATGAATCATGGAACACTGCATCAAAAACTAATGATGTAATGTATGGTGGTTAACAATAAAAAAATTATTAAAAAAAAAAAAAAGAACAGACCCATGACTATAATGGCTAACACAGCAGATCATATAAAGTGCTATGACTGAAAAAAAAAGAGAGGCCTGGAATCTTTGCTTTCATGATGATGAATACTTTTCTCATGACAGTGGAAATTTACAATATATTTTATTTTTGTGTTTTTCTTATTAGCTTTAGATCATCCTTCTTCCAGGTTCATGTTCAAGTATATATCCTTTAGAAGTTCTTTCATAACAGTCTGTGAGTAGCAAACTCTTCTAGATTTTTACGTTTGAAAATATTAAAAGCCTTCACTCTCGAATAATAGCCTAGCTGGGCATAGAATACTGAGTTGAAAATCATTTTCCTTCAGCAATTTGAATATATTACTTTATTTTCTTTTGGCATTTATTGCTACTCTGAAGACATCTGTGGCTACTTTGTCATTTGTCACAAGTTGTCTTTAGTCTCTCAGTAGCTTTTAAAATATTTTTCTCTTTATCCCTGATATTCTGCAATTGTATAAGTTATAATTTCTCTTAAATAATCCTATTTCGCATTCATTGTGTTGTCCTTGAAGGTATTATTGCTTTAATTCTGAACATTCTTAGGCATTATGTTTTCAAATGGTCTTTAGCAGTCTCTTTTTTTCCTTCTAGACATATGTTGACACCTCTCAATTTATCAACCATATATTTTTCATATTTTTTATACTTTCATATTTCTGCAATGCTTTTTAGGTAAATTCATTCTGATGTCTTCTAATTTCCTAATTCTCTCTCTTATTGCATCCAGTTTTAGGTTTATCCTATTTGTAGAGTGTTTATTTCACTGACTATATTTTACATATCCAGGATGTTTTGTTGGTATTGGCTCTTTTGACTATCCACTGTTCATCATCCTGTTGTTATTTCAAAATTCATTTTAAGTGCTTTTGTGGATTTTCCATAATTTGTATTTAGTAAGGAAAGAATCACCCAAGTACAAGTCAGGGCTCTGGTCAGTGGCTGTTTTTTATTCAACCTCCTTACTCATGGGCGAGGAAGCTCTGCTTGCTCTCCCATTTGGTTTCACTCAATGAAGTCAATCCTCAGTTTCCTGACATGGCTGCAGGTCATTTGTTCCCTGATAGATACCCATTACAGCAGACTCCCAGCCATCTTTATCTCTTTCTGGACTCAGAGCCGACCAGCTATGTGGCTTTAGTTCCCATTTAACACTGAGCAATTTTGTTCTTTTTTCTGGTACTTGGAGACTAGCTCTTGCTTTTGACCCTGATCATTACCTTTTATGTGTTTGGAGTAGGGTGAGTGTGTGAGTGTCTGTGTATGTGTGTGTGAGTGTGTATGTGTATTTAAAGCATAAGCTCATAATGC